CCGTATGGAGGGGGCGGGACACCGAGGCCTAGAGGGGTGGGAGAGAATACCTCAAAGTCACACAGTCAGCCACGCTGGGTTTTGTCCAGAATGGATTGAGAAGCCACTGACCATTCTAGTCAACTAAGAAGAGGTGACCAAATATTTCTCTCTTCGTGTCTCTGACTCCCTTCCTCTGAGTTCTAACTTTCAAACCAGAATCCAAAGAAATGGTTATAGACTCACACTAGACCAGTGATGGCGAACCTATGACACGCATGTCAGAGGTGACATGCGAACTCATTTTTTTGGTTGATTTTTCTTTGTTAAATGGCATTTAAATATATAAAATAAATATCAAAAACATAAATCTTTGTTTTCCTATGGTTGCAAAGATCAAAAAATTTCTATATGTGACACGGCACCAGAGTTAAGTTAGGGTTTTTCAAAATGCTGACACGCCGAGCTCAAAAGGTTCGCCATCACTGCTCTAGACTATGTCCTTCTCCTGTGTCAAACCTTTTCAAGGCTCCCAAGGTCTCAGCTCCCAGCCTGGCATTGAAGGCCCTCCAGTTCCAGTATCAGAGGTTTCTAGCCCCTCCGTTCATGCCCCATCACGATTCTGGCAACCTGAACACTTCTGATCTTTCGCTTCTTCAGGCCTTTGCCCACCCATGCCCTCTGCTTGGCACACCTGCTCCTCCGTGTTCACCTGACTCACCTCTACTGATCTTCATAAACTCATCTTTATGCTCCTAGACAGGGCTGCTCTGCATTTATCCTGTCTTCATGACTGGGCTGTAAGTTCTACGAAGGCAGGGCCTAAGTAATAATATGATTACATTTCACTAAACTGTTTCCAAGTAGTGTTCACATCCACAAGTTCTGTGGGATGAGAGTTAAATTCCATTTTACAGAAGGGGAAACCAAGGCCCAGGGAGTTGAAGCACAAAGCCCAAGATGACAGAGCAGTCTCTCTGCCCTAGGCTGTCTAGTCTCTTCATACCTAGTGATTCCACGTTCTATATCTTTCCTCACAAAATCCTCCTTCTCTGCCCTCACTGGTTTGGCTCAGTGGATAGAGCGTCGGCCTGCGGACT